CCCTTAAAGCTTGAAGATTTGTAAATGGACTATTGCCTGAACTTTACCTTAATGTTAAGGACAAATCCAGGATGTAGGTGAGATTTTCTGGATCACGTGTGATCTGACTCTCCGACCCTATCCCGGATTTATATTTTTATTTGTTTCAAATTTTGATTGTCATTACTGCATTATCTATTTATATTTTTTTTGTTTGTAAGCTTGTTTTAGTAATGATTATATACATATGTTATTCTTTTTTTTTTTATTTGTGCATCGTAATTTTTTTTAAAATTTTATCTATTTATATCTTTAATCTCTTTTCACTTTTGTAGCTTTTGATCTTTCGCTACTACTTCTTTACTTCCGGTCCTGTATTTAACTACCACTTCTTTTCTTCTGGTCTTGTAGTTTAGTTCTTTTGTTTTTTGGTCTCATGGCATGTAGTTAAATTGTATTTAACTACCACTTCTTTTCTTTGGTCCTGTAGTTTAGCTCTTTCGTCTTTCGGTCTTGGGTATGTAGTTAATCTACCACTTCTTTTCTTCCAGTACTGTAGTTGAGTTCTTTCGGTCTTGTGGTACATAGTTAAATTGGATTTAACTACCACTTCTTTTCTTCGGTCCTGTAGTTGAGTTCTTTCAGTTTCGTGGTACATAGTTAAATTGGCACTTCTTTTCTTCGGTCCTGTAGTTTAGTTCTTTCGGTCTCGTAGTACATAGTTAAATTAGCACTTCTTTTCTTTGGTCCTGTAGTTTAGTTCTTTCGGTTTTGGGTACATAGTTAAATTGGATTTAACTACCACTTCTTTTCTTTGGCCCTGTAGTTTAGTTCTTTTGTTTTTTGGTCTCACAGTACGTAGTTAAATTGGATTTAACTACCACTTTTTTTCTTCGGTCCTGTAGTTCTTTTGGTCTTGGGTATGTAGTTAAATTGGATTTAACTACCACTTCTTTTCTTCGGTTCTGTAGTTGAGTTCTTTGATCTTGTAGTACGTAGTTAAATTGGCACTTCTTTTCTTCAGTCCTGTAGTTTAGTTCTTTCGGTCTTGGGTACGTAGTTAAATTGGATTTAACTACTACTTCTTTTCTTCAGCTCTGTAGTTTAGTTCTTTCATTTTTTGGTCTCGCAGTACATAGTTAAATTGGATTTAACTACCACTTTTTTTCTTTGGTTCTGTAGTTCTTTCGGTCTTGGGTATGTAGTTAAATTGGATTTAACTTCTACTTCTTTTCCTCGGTCCTGTAGTTGAGTTATTTCGATCTTGTGGTACATAGTTAAATTGGCACTTCTTTTCTTCGGTCCTGTAGTTTAGTTCTTTCAGTCTTGGGTATGTAGTTAAATTGGATTTAACTACCACTTCTTTTCTTCGACCCTGTAGTTTAGTTCTTTTGTTTTTTGGTCTCGCAGTACATAGCTAAATTGGTTGGTCCTGTAGTTTAGTTCTTTTGTTTTTTGGTCTTGCAGTATGTAGTTAAATTGGATTTAACTACCACTTCTTTTCTTCGGTCCTGTAGTTGAGTTCTTTTGATCTTGTGGTACATAGTTAAATTGGCACTTCTTTTCTTCAGTTCTGTAGTTTAGTTCTTTTGGTCTTGGGTACGTAGTTAAATTGGATTTAACTACCACTTCTTTTCTTCGGCCTTGTAGTTTAGTTCTTTCATTTTTTGGTCTCACAGTATGTAGTTAAATTGGATTTAACTACTACTTTTTTTCTTCGGTTCTGTAGTTCTTTCGGTCTTGGGTATGTAGTTAAATTGGATTTAACTACCACTTCTTTTCTTCGGTCCTGTAGTTGAGTTCTTTCATTTTTTGGTCTTGCGGCATGTAGTTAAATTGGATTTAACTACCACTTCTTTTCTTCAGTCCTGTAGTTTAGTTCTTTCGGTCTCATGGTACATAGTTAAATTGGATTTAACTACCACTTCTTTTCTTTGGTTTTGTAGTTTAGTTCTTTCGGTCTGGGTTGGATTTAACTACCACTTCTTTTCTTCGGTCCTGTAGTTTAGTTATTTTGTTTTTTGGTCTTGCGGTACATAGTTAAATTGGATTTAACTACCACTTCTTTTCTTCGGTCTTGTAGTTGAGTTCTTTCGGTCTCATAGTACATAGTTAAATTGGATTTAACTACCACTTCTTTTCTTTGGTTCTGTAGTTGAGTTCTTTCATTTTTTGGTCTCATAGTATATAGTTAAATTGGATTTAACTACTACTTTTTTTAGTCCTGTAGTTTAGTTCTTTCAGTCTTGTGTATGTAGTTAATTTGTATTTAACTACTACTTTTCTTCCAGTTTTGTAGTTGTGTTTTTTGTTTTTTTGGTCTTGGTATATATTGTTGCAAAATTGTTTTAAATTAAATAAAATACAAAATAAATATTTACAGTGTGTATAGCATATAGTGTAAATTGATATAGTTAGTAGCTCTTACAAAAACTTCCTCTTGTAATTTTTATTTAATTGGGATGTTAAGGTTAGAGTTGGGATTAGATTATGTTGGGTGTTCAAATTGATCGTGTGATCATGTGATTCCGATCTGGATCGGAGAGGCCATTTTTACGTGACCCGGAAAATCTCACCTACATCCTGGTGCTATTAATGTTAAGCCTCACAATGACCAAACTTGGGATAGTGCTGTTAATAGAGCAAAAGCTTATGAACTTACTTATCAAGATTATAATGTAGTGAACTCTTATTTTAACAAATATGCTGCTCTTATTGCCAACACTCAAGCAGATATTTTGAATTAAGCAATTTAAAATTTAACTCAACAAATTCAACAACTAAATTTGGAAAATAGACATAATAATTCAAGAAACAATTATCAAAATCCTCAATCGAATGTTTATTTAAGACCACAGCAAATACAGCAACCTTGACAATGGCAGGGTGCAGTCCAAAATTTCTGGATTTGATCAACATTTTGTGTAACATTTAAAACTAAACTTTTTAAACAGTTGTCTTGACAACCACCAAGCCAAATTCGATAAAAGATTTTTATTTGGATTCAATAAGTCTGTAGAATTTTGATAAAAAAAGGTTTATCGAATTTAATCTGGTGTTGATGAGATATCTTTGCTCAAAGATTGAAAAAAGTTTGGCACAGCAGTCTTTTCTTAAAACTTTGAGCAAAGATATTTCGTCAACCACCAAGTCAAATTTAATAAAAATTTTTTATTTGCATTCTTCATATTTATAGAATTTAAATAAAAAATTTCATCAAATTTAACCTAGTGGTTAATGAGATATCTTCGCTCAAAAATTAGAAAAGGTTTGGCGCAGCTTAATTTTGATAGTCTTTTTAAATATTTGAGTGAAAATATCTCATAAACCACCAGGTTAAAATCGATGAGCCTTTTTTATTTAAATTTTATGAATCTGTGGAAGTAAATAAAAAAATTTATTAAATTTGGCTTGGTGATTGACGAGATATCTTCGATCAAAGTTTTAAGAAAACTTAAAATGTTTATAAAAATAAAGTTGCGCCAAATTTTTCTTAATTTGAGCAATGATATCTCAACAACCACCATGTTAAATTCGATAAAAAAATTTTATTTAATCCTACAAATCTGTATAATGCAAATAAAAAAAAGATTATTAAATTCGACTTGGTGGTTGATGAGATATCTTCGCTCAAAGTTTTAAAAAAACCTCGTTTATAAAAATAAAGCTGTAGACAATCACCAAGCCAAATTCGATAAACCTTTTTTTATCCAAATTCTACAAACTTATTGAATCTAAATAAAAAATGTTTATCGAATTTGGCTTGGTGGTTGTTGAGATAACTTTGTTTAAAGTTTGAAAAAGTTTGGTTTTAGATATTACACAAAATGTTGATCAAATCTGGAAATTTTGGACTGCACCCTGCCATTGTTCAGCAACCTTAGCAAGCTCCTGTCAGATCTACTTATGCCAACACATTTGTATATTATCAGTGTGGACAACCTGGACATACAAGAAGAAATTACAAACAGGAATATTCCCTACTGCAATCCCTACAACCAATCCCTTAAGCAACACTGTACCTTAAGCTCAAGCTCAAACACAAGCTCAAGCTCAAGCACAACCCCAACATCAAAGCAATCAAGCTATACAACTTCTTCACCTTTTGGCTCAACTTATTCCTCAAGATAATAATGGATTGGTACAACAATATATTCATCAAATCTCAACACAACCACAACAACCTATTCATCAAATCTTAACACAACAACCACAACAACCCATATATGCACCACACATTCTATCTCAAGTTCAATCTCAATCTCAACCCCAAGTACTGATTCAACCTTCAATTTAGCCACAAGTCCAGTTACAACAACCTTTAAACTAGAAGGCCAACATCTCAAATATTGTATTTCTAGATACCTATCCTGCAAAAAGACAAAGGACAGAAGAAATTACAAAGGAGCAAAAGGAAGAACGAGACAAGAGTAAAGAAAAAGTAATAAAAACAACAAAAACTAAAAAGAAAAACAGCCATTATTACGCAATTCTTTGATCAGACAGCAAATATTACAAATGGACAATTATTAGCTATGAACCCCAAATTCAGCCAAGTAGTTATTAAACACTTAAAGAAGCCAATAGTAAAAAAGATAGATCAAGCCAACTTGAAAACAAAATTAGATAATAGAGAGCAAAAACCAGAAGAATCAAAAGCAACAGTATCATCAACTCATCAAAACCAACAAAATCAACCTATAGAGGAACTTGTATCTCAAATCCAGGATAAACGTTCTACAGCTTTATTATTGATTCGGGATCTGCTGGCAGTATTATGTCTCTTTAACTTGTTAAAGGATTTAGATATGGAAATTATACAAGCTTCAAAAACAGTAATGATTAATGTAAATGAAGAAAGAAGAAGGCCTCTTAGAGCAATAACTAATATTCCTTTAAAAGTTGGAGGATGTCTTATACCTTTTGATACTATTATTACGGAATCCAATTCTTATAGTGCTATAGTAGGAAATGATTGGTTACAGAAGATGAAAGCAACTATAAATTATAATAAGAATATCATGATCTTATATTGGGATAACCAAACTATTGAAGTACCTATTGAATCAAAGCAAGCTCTATATTATGAAGTCAGTATTGAAGCTCCTGAAATAAAAAAGGAAAAAGAAGAGGATGAAGTAATCATTAAGGATAGTGATGATGAAGATGAGAGTGAAGAGGAATATGAATCTGATATTGAAACACCAGAAGAAGAAAGTTTATTTTGTTATGCAGAAGAAGCTAAAAGAATTGAAAAGGAGATCATTAAACAAATGTATGAAAGAGAGTTTTATTTTCAGGAAAATAATGAACTAGAAGAAATCAAAAAGGGAGTTTACAATCTTGGAGAACTAGAAGATAATCAAGTTCATGCCTTTACTAAATTTATGAAGAATTATGAGGATCTATTTGTCTGGGAACCTTATAAATTTGGACGAACCAAAGTTTTATCTCATGCTATACAAACTGATGGACCTCCTATTAAGCAGAACTTTTATCAAACATCTTACAAGAACCAAAAATTTCATCGGGAGAATTAAATAAGTGCAAATCTGTAAAAACCTGCAAAAATGCAGATTTTTGCAAAATTTTTTATATTTTGAAATTTTGCGCATAACTGTATTTTAATTTCTGTAGCTATAGCTGGTGAGTCTGAGTTTTTGCACGGATTTTCATTTAATTTATTATTTAATTTTTTTGCAAATCTGCACAGAACAGCACTAAAAAATTTTTTCAATGTTATTGAGCAAGAAATAAAAGAAATGCTAAAACAAGGATTGATTAAACCTTCAAGTAGCCCTTGGACCTCTACTGTAGTTGTTGTTGAAAAGAAAAATGGAAAGCTACGATTATGTATAGACTACAGAAAACTGAATGCAGTTACTAAAAAGGACAATTATCCATTACCACAAATTGATAACATGCTAGAGGCTTTAGCATATTCAAGATGGTTTACTTCTTTAGACATGGCTAGTAGATTTTGGCAGATACCTATGAGCTCTCAAGATCAAGAAAAAACTGCATTTATTACATGATTTGGTACTTACAAGTTTACAGTTATGCCTTTTGGATTATGCAATGTGCCAGCTACTTTTCAATGACTTATAGACAACATACTACAAAATCTACTTTGGAAATTTGTTGTAGTATATATTGATGATATTAATATAGGATCAAAAACATTTGAAGAGCATTTGGATCATTTAAAAGAAGTCTTTACTTGTCTTAAAAATGCTGGACTTAAGCTTAATCCTGAAAAATGTTTCTTTTTCAAAAAGAAACTTCCTTTTCTTGGACATATTATTAGTGAAGATGGAATTCAAACAGATCCAGAGAAAATTAGAGCAGTACAGAATTTCCCTATACCTCGAAATACTACTCAACTGCAATATTACTGAAAATTCATTAAGGATTTTTCCAAGATTGCTGAACCTTTAAATCGATTGCTAAAAAAGAAAATGGACTATATCTGGACTACAAACCAACAAAATGCATTTCAGAAGCTAAAACAATGTCTTACTATATCACCCATCTTGGCTTATCCTGATTTTGAAAAACCATTTATTATATATACTGATGCGTCAACAATTGGGCTTGGAGCAATTCTAGCACAAAAAAATAATAATAATAGAGAACATGTTATATCCTATACGAGTTGATCACTTAATACCCATGAAAAGAACTATTCAATTACTGAACTAGAGTGTCTAGCAGTAATTTGGGCTATCAAACATTTTCATCATTATTTGCATAGACAAAAGTTTACTATAATAACAGATCATGCTGCTCTTGCTTATCTCAAAAACATGACAAACCCAATTGGAAAACTTGGACAATGGCTTATGACTCTTAATGGCTATGATTTTATGATTATAAACCAACCTGGAAAAGCAAACACCAACGCAGATACTCTTAGTCGAATACAAGTTTAGTACAACAACAAAGAGAGAAAAGTAGATTTTATAACTTGGCAATATTATATTTGGACTTCACTTTTGGATTTTGGCTTTTGATTTTGACGGACACTTATGGATTTAAATATATATTATCCTCTTGTGCAGTATTTAATGGACCACACTTGGCCTAAAAATTTAGAACAAAAGGAGATTAAAGCTCTTAAAAATAAATCATTGTTATAGAAGGACAATTATATAAGAAAAACAAAAGAGAATCTACAAGACCTCTCAAAGTTGTGAAGCAAAATGAAATTGATATTATTCTTTATAACTTGCACTCGGATCCTCTTGCTGGACATTTTGGGAATAATGAAACCTATTGAAAAACAGCAATATGTTACTACTGACCACAAATATATGATGATATTAAGAAGTATATACAAACCTGTGATGAATGTCAATGAAGAGACAAACCTACCCGAACAGAGCCCTTGCATCCAATTAAAGTTGGACAGCCTTTTGATCATATTGGAATGGATATTGTTGGACCACTACCTATGACTAATAAAGAAAATAAATACATAGTAGTTGCAACAGATTACTTAACAAAATGGCCTGAAGCTCGAGCCTTACCTAATACAAAAGCTGACACTGTTGCTACATTCTTTTATGAAGATATAATCTGTTAGCATGGATGTCCAAAAGTTCTACTTACTGATAGGGGAACTCATTTTGTTAATTTGAAGTTAAGCATAAATTATCCTCTGCTTATCATCCACAAACAAATGGGCTTGTCGAACATTTTAATAGAACCCTATATGAGACCTTGGCAAAGTTTTTGAATGAAAACAAAGATGATTGGGATTTGTATATACCTTCTGCACTATTTGCTTATTGGACTATAAAACATAATACAACTTGGCATGAACCTTTCTATTTAACTTATGGACGAGAAGTCATCTTGCCAGTAGAATTTCAAGTTGAAACTCATGCATTTCAAGAAAAAGGAGAGGATAAGCAGGAAACTCTATTGCAGAGAATATATCAATTAATAGGAAAGTTACAAGAAGATTGTATACAAGCTCAAAAAAATATTAAAAGATCTCAGGAGTACCAAAAAAAAGGCATGATCAGAATTTAAAAGAGATAATTAAATATAAGATTGGAGATCTTGTCTTGTTATATCGAAGCGAGTTAAAAGGAAGAAAAAAGCTAATAAACCCATGGAAATGACCTTACTATGTTCATAAGGTTTTAAGCATACAAGTTACGAACATTAGACTGAAAAATACTTAAGGAACCTATAAACGGTGACCAATTAAAACTTTATTATCAAAAACCACTACTGATACCACAAGTTATTATAGAAGGTTAAATATGGCTAGATCATCAATAATCTTCTATAAATAGGCTCAACATGAAAACAAGCATTATGATTGAAGAGATCATTACTTAAATTAACAATTATAAAGAGTAGCAAAAAAATTTTTTAATATCATCTAAATATGGATTAATGGTTATAGCAGAGGGCTGTCATTATACAGACCTGGGTTCGAGACCAGCTGAGGGAGCTGCCTGCTAGGTACCAAGTTCAGTATGGCCCTTAGTTGAAATATTTAAATGGTTGCTTTTTTTTATTTTATTTTTATTAAAATTTTAAAAACACTAAGATATATATATATATATATATATATATAAAAGAAGAGAAGAAGAAAACAACAAACTCCTCATCCAAATTTATATTATTTATACGACTCTCCAACTCAATAAGCTGAACACGCAGCTGGTTTCTCTTCTAAACAACTCGCCAATGCTCCTCATTTCTCCTCCAATTTTCTTCTACCGACTCTGCACCCAAAACCAAATCTTTTCCAACTCCGCTTACAACACAACTCTTTTTCTTAAGAACCTGACTTCATGCCACAACCTAATATAAATTACAAATTAATATCTTATTTGAGGCTTTTATAAAGATTTATGAATATCTACCTTCTATTTTGGTCCTGCACCTCACCAAGAGCTTCATAGAGGGCCTCATTTTTATTACGATGAGCATGACGAACAGTGCAAGAGATACAAGTACGAGGCATTTTATTATTAGTATTATTATTATTATTATTATTATTGGTTATTTATTGTTGAAGTTGATAAAAAAAAATTATTATAAAAAAAAAAAGAGTATATTTATTTACCGCACCCTGCAGTGGCACTAATTTATCGCCTCTCACATGATTGACCAATCAAATTTTAAGATCAAGTGTAACATAGCACAATTAGAAAATTCAAAACAAACGTTCATTTTATCAAAAATCGTCTATAACTCAAAACTTTGTATATGAAACTACCCTTCGCATTCTAACAAAAAAAATTCCTTACAAAATTTTACTATAAAAAAACTTTTACTCTAACTCTAACACTAACTCTAACACTAACCTTACCTCACCCTAATCCTAACTAACAAAAAATGGTTTATTTTGATTTCATGTTACACCCAATTTTATGATCTGCAGGGATGCGGTAACATCGCATATGAGATGTATAAATTATCTTAAAAAAAAATTATTATTATAAAAAAAAAAATTATTATTATAAAAAAAAAAATTATTATTATAAAAAAAAAATTATTATTATAAAAAAAAAAATTATTATTATAAAAAAAAAAATTATTATAAAAAAAAAAATTATTATTATAAAAAAAAAATTATTATTATAAAAAAAAAAATTATTATTATAAGAAAAAAATTATTATTATAAAAAAAAAAATTATTAAAAAAAAATTATTATAAAAAAAAAAAAAAAAAAAAAACTTCTTCAACAATATGCTTAATTTAGTTAAAAACCTTGATATTATTTTCTAGATTTTTGTATTCTGTTTATTACTTTCATCAGGCACAATGTTATAGTGGAGGATTGTAACGATCATATGCGGGTGATGAAGCATATAATACTTTTCTTTATTATTTTGCTTCTTCGTTTATTTTATTTTTAGATTATTTCTATTTTTGTTTATTTCTTTGGACATTATGCTGGGAACAATTAGTCAAAATAAGGTTGAAGCATGTTGTGTTATATTTGGTAATTTTGTGTCATTTTTGGTATATTTTCAATATATTTTGATGAGACATACAAATTTGAATAATGGAAATCGCTAAAACAATTATAACATGTGACGAAAGCGAAGAAAATAATGAAGCAAAACAAACTTATCAGAACAATATAGAAACTTAAAGAAGAATAAGAAAAATTTTTATTGTTTACAGGAAAATTAAAGAAATTTACGGAAACTTTTAGAAATTTATAGAAAAAGGAAGAGATTATAATAAAGACAACAAGAAGATCTCTATAAAAAGAGCTCATCTCTGCCTTGCTCTACTAAAAACAAAAATTAAAAAAACACAAACTCAAAACCAATAAAGCAGAAAAAAAAAGAACCCAAACTAAAAAGATCTAGAAGAAGAAGAAACCAAGAAAAAAATGGCCCAACTTTCTGGAATAACTAGACTAATGGCTAAACAACTTCAACATGAATTACAAAAATTGGATCCAACTTCAATTATGATAATTACTCCCAAAGAAATTATTTATCAAGACAAAACTCAAGTAATGCAAGCCCCTTTGAAGCTTACTGATACTCAGAAAATTCGACAAAAATTGCCTTTATATATCAAGGACCTTCAGAAACCTATTACAAGTGCTGGCCTACAAAACATGGTAGAAGTTTTTGGCCATTCCTGGGAAGATAAGGTGCAATCTATTTGCAAGAAGATTAAACACTTCGAGAATGAAAATAAGGCTATTTATTAATCTTTAGAATGGTGCTATCGACTTGGTAAACTTCTTTGTATAAGAAGTTGGAGCGAGAATACTTTAAACTTTTTAATACAAGAAGTTGGATCTTGAAAAGGACCTAAAGTATTTTGAGTAGCTAAAAGGACCTTTGAGCTATACAATACTTGAGGAATCTGGAATCTGTACCAAGCAAAAAAAATAAGTTACAGGATCTTAGCTCATATGTATGACTCTAATTTTGAGGTACTAAAACAAGAAGCTTATCGTGTCTACTTAGAAGAAGCTAGCGATTTTACTATTCCTGACAAGTTTTAAAAATATTCGCAGGAGCTCATATTTTAAGGAGAGGATGATGTTACTGATAT